TAGCTCAACTTGTCCAAGTGAGTGATGGCGCCCCATGGCCGCCGGAGCCGTGAGCTCAGGCCTGCCCCGCCAGGGTGGACAGCGGGATCCCTGGCATGCCCGCTGCTGCCCCCAGAGGTGCCGTCCTTGGCCCCTGGCTCATCCCATCCCTTCACGAGACTCTCCCATCACCTTGCCACTGGGCACAGCGAACTCAGCCATTCAGTGTCACATTTCAGCCTCTGGCTGCTGCCCCACCGGTCTCTTCCTTTGCCAACAACCAGGTCATTCCATTTTCTGCCCCCAGGGCAGCTTCATTTCAGTCCTCGGGTCATCCCATCCTCTTCGGCCACCCCATCTCAGCCCTCAGGTCACCCCTCTGCAGGCAGCAGCCCTGTGGTTTTTCGCCATCGACCATCCCACCCTCGGGAGCTGGTCCTCACTCAGCCTGATTTATGCCACACATCAGCCACCGGCCCTCCCTCTTTCGGCCAGCAGATGGCTCTAGACCCAGGGGTAGAGCCATTCCATTTTTGATCATCCACCAGGTGACTCCATTGGCTTATCCCAGTCTTGCTTGAACCATATGCCATCTGTTGCAGAGGCCACCCACGAGCAGCCACAGGCTGCCCCATTGGCTCATCCTCATCTCAGCCATCCCCACTGGCTGTCCTTGACCAGCGGGTGTCCCACTGTCCACTGTTGGGATTGTGTGTCCTTGGAGGTTGGGTTGTCAAGCCTCAGCTAGCTTCTCTCTCCAGATGTCAGACGGTGATCTGAGTGTCAGACAGAAGAGCTGTCCTCTCTTGAATAGCTGTTTGAGCTTGTCAGACAGTCAGGCCAAGTGCTGGACGTCGGGTTGGCCCCTGTTCCCCACGGATAATATGCCCCTTCCTTCAGGGTGGCCTTATTCTCATCTCGGCTTTTAGGAACTTCTGGTTCCCCACAGAGGAGCCCTTTCAGGCCCTCCATCCTTTGAGCTGAGAACGTTTTCACCCGTTGGGATGTAGGCTCCGCTTGTAGCTACTAGAATGGCCTCATTCTCAGCCAGCGGAGCAGCCCCCCACTTAAAAGGCCACCAGCCCTGACCCTTCTTAGCTGTTGAGCCATCCTGTTGCCTCAACTTAGGGCCCTCCTAATCCTCTTCAGAAGATCTGTGGTTCCCGCCATCGGGACCACTGAGGGCCACCGTGCTGAGCCCTCATTCACTAGCAGGCTTGAGTGCACACAAGTTGACTTCTCCCAACATCTGGCCTCGGGAGGGTCCTAGAGGGAGGCCCCACACCCCTTTGGGGACCCAGGCCCAGTGCCCCCCCCTCCTGGGCTGCTCCTGCCAGTCTCCAGGCTGGCCAGGCCTCCATGCCATCCGCTGGCTCCAGGCCTGGAGGAACCAATTTTAGTTTCCTGTGACTGAGAGGTTGTAAATTGGACTAATTTTGGATGTGATAGGAAACCAGAATGAGGTCAGCAAGGAGGAGGAGGTGGCTGCCAATGTGCCGTCCTCCCTCTGCCCCCGGGGATCCATGGGCCTACCTGGTCAGCCAGGCGCTGCCTTCTCCTGGTGGTAGCCCTGATTCCCAGACCTAAGTCAGGCAAGACTGCAGCCCCCACCTAAGACCCAGCTAAAGCCACGTCTTGCTTTCTTCTCTCCTTCTCTCACTCTCTCTTTACTCTGACTTTCTCTCTCTCTCTTTTGCTCTTTCTCCTTTTCTCTCTTTCTCTCTCTCAACCCACAGGGGTAGCCTAACTGTCATCTTTTGGTTCCCAGGGTAGGCTCAGGGGGCGAACAAACCTGAGGTCTGGTTGCAGTGGTGAAAGTAGCTCTCGTGGGCCCTGGGGCCTCCTTCCATGGCAGCCCAGGGGGTACTTGGCTGCCCTATGGCCCTAGACCAGAGGCTGGCAAACTTTCTCTATAAAGGGCCAGATGGGAACTATTTTGGCTTTGCAAGCCACACAGTCTCTTTCACAATTCTCCCCTGCCACTGTAGCTTGAAAGTAGCCAGAGACAGCATGTAAACCAACACCAGTGGCTGGGCTCTAGTAAAACTTTATTAACAAAAACAAGTGGTGGGCCAGATGTGGCTACAGTTTGCCAACCCCTGCTCTAGACCATTAGATTGGGATGTGGAGGGAAGGGACAGAGGAGGAGGAGGTTGGAACCTCTGAAACCCAGAAAGAAGTGACTCACCCAAAGCTGTTCAGCCCAGTCCCTGGCTCAGCTATATGGTGCCTGGTGACAGCCCAGCTCTGACCCTGCCTGTGGGATATGGTAAGATCTCTGGCCAGTGCACAAATCAGGCGGGTTCCCCAGAGGAGGCCAGGGACTTCTGTGTGCGGCCACTGACATGGAGAGCATTTCTCCGGGCCTGACCTTATTGGGTCTTATGACACCTCTGTGATAGAGGCAGCTCAGGGACTTTTTTTTTTTTTTTTTGAGTCTGGGTCTCACTCTGTCACCCAGACTGGAGTGCAGTGGTGCAATCACAGCTTGCTGCAGCCTTGACATCCTGGTCTCAGGCGATTCTTCTGCCTCAGCCTCTTGAGTAGCTGGGGCTATAGGCATGCACCACCACACATGGCTAGTTTTGTTTTTGTTTTTGTTTTTGTTTTGTAGAGATGAGGTCTCGCTATGTTACCCAGGCTGGTCTCGATCTCCTGGGCTTAAGTAATCCTCTCGCCTTGGCCTCCCAAAGTGCTGGGATTACAGGTGTAAGTCACCACATCTGGCATTAGTTCAGGGTTTGTTTTATATCCCTAATTTACAGATGAGGGGCCTAAGGCCTAGAGAAGTGGAGTAACTTCTCTAAAGTCCCATAGTTAGTAAGTGGCAGAGATGGGGCTTGAACCCAGGTCTCTGAGCCTACACTGCATCTAACTAGCCATGTCCTATTTCCTCTCCATCCCCACACTTCCCAGAGCATTTAAGAGACACTGGCACCAGGCATGGTGGCTCAAGCCTGTAATCCCAGCACTTTAGGAGGCTGAGGCAAGAGGATTGCCTGAGTCCAGGGGCTCAAGACCAACCTGGGCAACTTGGCAAGACCTCATCTCTACAATAAACCAAAAAATTAGCTGG